GTCTGAGTGAAACAGATGGTGTCTTCATACTTTAGCTACAGTGTAATTAACAAACAGAAAGCTCTCACAGGGGAGGTATCTGCTTTTACTCTGCTCTTGCCATTTTGTGAAAGTGGATAAGATTATTTAACAGGATTACCGGCCCTTTTACCTCTAGAGGAATGTCATTCAGTGACAACAAATATTTTATGTTCAAACCTTTTTAAGACTTTGATTGCATTATTTTTTTCTCTTTTATTTTTCTTGAACAAAAATTGTTTCAAAAATGGATTAACCTCCTTATTAGTTCCTTAAAGTTTTATATTTCATTTTGTCAACTGTTCTTACACAATTTTGCATCTGTCATTTATTGAGAGAGTGAAAATTTTCACCATTGATAACATGGTATAATTTATATTTGACTCTTTTAAGCCATCCAACACAAGCAGAAAAACTATTTGTATCTGGTATCATAGAGGAGAGATAGCATCCTTCACCAAATTAAAGAGGGAAGGTTGGAAAAGAAAGCCTAGAGAAGTTGAAACATTTTATAAATAGTAGAAAGAAACTTTACTGTTGCTGTTGTTATTATTATTATTTACAGCTGGTAATATTAGAATTCTCTCTATTTAGGGCTGCCCAAAGCAATCCTTTAGAAGGCATGGAAGTTGTTATTAAGTTTGTAAAATTTAGAGCATCTGAAGGAAAAAGGTTTCACAATGAGATTTTTCTTGCCCATTGTGTCAATTAGTCTGTTTTGTTTCTTTCTTTTTGTTAGCTTGCCTTTTTGGGAGCAAAAAAAATAAAAAATTTATAATCTCTGTAAGAAAATAATCATAGAATTATAGAATGGTTTGTGTTAAAAGGGACCTTAAAGATCATCTGGTTCCAATGCTCCTGCCATGGGCAAGGACACCTTCCACTAGACCAGGTCGCTCAGAGCTCTATCCAGTCTAGCCTTGAACACCTGGAGACTGTTTCATGGTTGACAAGGACAAATTTTTATATTTAATGTGATTGTGCTTTACTCTGATGGCAAGAAAGGAAAGTGATGGACTTCAGATGAAATAAGAGAACTAAGCCTGATTATGCTTCTATACTTTCTACCACTATCCAGGACTAGTGGAAGTACAGCGTGGTTTATACATCTAACTAAACAAAGAAAAAAATTACTTTGCATCTCATAACTAGGCAGAGCAGACTTGTGGTCTAATATTCTCTTTCATTTTCTTTTTGGACATCTGCAACTGATCCATACAGAATCTCTTAATTTAAACTGCAGTCTCCTTTGAGATGACAGTGAGGTAACATGATAGAAAACAGAGCCCACAAATCCTGAAAAAAAAATTACCAGAAGATGTGTAATAAAGAGGAATATTTTAAAAACTTTTTATATATACATAAAAGGAAACTAAGAACCTCTAGTGATTCAACAGTAGGATTGCAATATGAGGATTTTGGAACATATCTAAATGGCATGTACAGATTGAATAATGTAGCTGTAGAGAAGAGATGCCAGAGGTCTATCCCTAAATTCAGAAAAGAGTGAAAATCTAACAACAGGCCAGAAGCAATATGCAAACAGGAAGTACCTGTTACAACATATTTTCTCTGAACTGTCAGAGCATGAGGAGCCCAACATACACTGGAAAAACACCAATGACATCATCAGTAACATCTTTTGATCAGTAAATTCTGCAAAAGATAGAAAATTAGACCATCAAGAAAAGTGAAAGAGAAAGGGAAGGATACAATCATGTATTTGCCAGAGACATGAGTTGTTGGGATATGCCGAGATATTAGGCATAATTAAACATGCCTAAACAAGGTTAGACTGAAATATTAGGCATATGGAAACATTTTTTTTTAGCTGACATTGTGTCATGTCAGTCAGCTGAGAAATAAGACAGAAAACTAAAAATAGTTGAGTAACAACACTGACGTGCAAAACATTCAGTGATAATAACTGTGTGTGTTTATAATAATCTATTTAATCCCTTTAATATGTGTGAAGTGTGTAATATCAGAAGAAACTGATGAGATTCTTTCCACAGATTGCAAGGGCCTTTGAATCTGGTATTACAGGGAAGTTTTCTCTCTGCTAACTTTAACATTTCAGGTGCCAATTATCTTTTATTCAGAAAGGAAGGATCTAGATTCATTTTTCATAGCCCATTATTTCAGTGCTAATAACTGCACTACTGAGTCCATCATCACTTCAGAATATGTTCTGTTCAAGCGTGTAGTCACGTTTCTAACTAAACAGCACACAATATAGAGCATTTTGAGCATTGTAAGGCAGTCAATGCAAAACTAACCTGTAAACATGTTTTGAGTGTTGGGAGGTTTTTTGTAAATAGATACTCCAGCAGTATTTTATATCATGTGACAGCAATTTCTTATATAAGAGGATATGCCTTAAAATGATTGGATTTACTGTCAAACTACAGCTGTCTCTCCTTATTTTAAGACTGGGGGAACAGCCCTTTGG